TTTTTTTTTTTTTTTTTTTTTTTCTTCTTCATAAGGTACACATTCTCTCTTAACTTTCTCTAGTAACAGGGTTTCAATTAATACAGTGGTGAGATACAGGTAACTATACAACTGTTTTTTTTTTATTTTTTCTCCTACAAGACCTTTTTGGTGAAATACCTGGCAAGAGAAAAATGAACTAGTACATGTGAATTCCAAAAGTAGTGAATATATATATATAACACGAATAGAAGTATGTAAAAAAGATTTTTTTTTTTTTTTTTGGAATTGATTTTATGACCAGCAATTGATACTCAATGAAGAGTTCTTAAACCAGTTAAGCTAGACGTCCTTTTGAGAGATAAACAAAAGGGCGGGAAGAATGTATTTGGTCAGAAAGAAGAGGATGTTGAACCTAATTGACGGGATTCATTGACGATCCAGTTTTATTAAATGAGTAGACACCAAGAAGAGATGATTAAGATATATAGTTTTATAATTTTTAAGGATTTTATGTTATACGAATTTTGTGTAGAATAACGCTTGGGTCGCCAGTAAAGGCAAGTTAATTGAATGAATATCAGATCGGGTTCATGATATGTTTTCGGATAGGATATGCCCTGAAGACATATATGATAATCGATGCAGTCAATCCGCGACCAGCGTACAATGTACAAAGTCCAAGAAAGGAGACACGATGACTTGGTAAGCAAGACTGAAAAATCGTTCTAGTGAATCAGTGAACACTGACTTTGAAGATCGATCAAGTTGATGATAAATGACCGGATGTCTCCAACTTTCACTCAGCGTACCGTCCTCATCATCATCGGTGTCAGGGAGCAAGTAATATTTTTCATCATCGATGAAATCTTCAGAATCAATTCCTTCAGAAATCGCGCACTTTAACATACGATCAACGGCCTCAGAATTGAATCCAATCCGTCCAATTTGACATGAATGCGACCAAGCATGCGACAAAATACATGCCCGGTGGTAAAGTCCCATACTCCCAAAACGAATTCAGTGCCGAGTTTCGAATTTCTATTTCTATCTGAACAATTTTTTTTTTTTTTTTTTTTTTTTTTTTTTTTTTTTTTTGGCAAAGTGCACAAGTAGAATTAAAGAAGTTTTCTGACATTCCTTTTTTTCACAAGTTGGATGTATCGTAAGCGTTTCAAATCAATACATTTTCTGAAAGAGCAAAGTGAAATTTTTCGAGAATTTTTATTTTATTTTTTTATTTTTTATTTTATTTTTTTTTTTCAAGTTTAGGTGAGTAAGTCTAGGTAACTCATAAATTTAGGTGATGAGATTACGTCACTCGTGTTGTTGATAAGGTGAAGTTGAAGTCTGGTCAGGGTTGAGACGAACATGTGCATGAACTGATGTGCGATAGCAAACGATGTTTTGTTTACCTTCAACAAGGTCAAGTGTGGTAAGGCGCGGGCCCCAGGGAATTTGGTACCATGACGCATTGACGGCGCAGACATAGTGAAGCTAAAGTTGAGTTATGTGTTCCAGGCCGCAACAGGTTGAATACCACAGATTTTTTTCTCGGATGATTTTGAGATATGTGAGGCAGATATCGACTTTATCATTGGTAGACGTTTGTTGAGAGTCGAAACGCTTTGTTCTAGAAAGTAAAATCTTTGAGTTGAGGGTGTCGATGTATTGAGATCGGAGCCCCATTCGAAATGTCGCAGCTCGCGAAAATTTGAGATCAGGGTCAGAAGTGAAATGGTCATGGCAACGAATTCCTTGCTGTAAGCTTGTCTTAATGCTTGATTTCCTTCATGGATGATCGGGATGTGAATACCCAGTGATTTGACGTTTGGACATCGCCCGATAATGATGAAGAGTTCCCCTATAGTCCACTCTTCAGGATGATCTTTGTTCAGCACGGTATCGCATAGCATAGTGTGCTGATTTGATAGGCGCAGATCGAGGTGATGAACGCGTGAGCCATGCTTAGGCAAGAGAGTCTCGGCCCACAAGTGCGCGATCTATTGACCAAGATTTTCTGCACACCAAAGAAGAAATTATGTAGGTTATCAGTGATCAATAGATCAAAACGATATCATAAATGTAAGGACAGTCCTTACCTCCTATATCCACTGTAAGCTGAGCTCATAGAACTGCCGGTTTACCACAGCTAAAGGGTAAAATTCACGAATGGGATAATGATGAGGCGATCGTATTTCTTCTTCGGTGGCGTCGCGAGCAAATCGATCAATCTCCGTCAAGATCTCTGTCGGAAAATCCAAGATGCTAGCTGTACTCTGTAGCATACGAGTTTCTTCCGATTTGATCATATCTTTCGCCACGTTTGCAGAAGCAAATGTGTGACCAGACAAGTTTACAGTGTTCATCGAGGATATCGTTGACGTGGTCATAGGTATCCAGAAAAATACGAGGTAAGCCATCCAGAAATCGAGTCCTTTGTCCAGCTAAATCCAGTCCGATCGAGCTTTTCAATCGGGTCTTCGAGACTAGAGATGTGCTGTAAGACTGGACGTGTTGAGGTATGAACTCGATCGACAATGGACCACCATGCTTCAAGATGAGATCGACGATTAGAATGTTGCATCTGATTGAGACCACAACTTGAATTGTGAGCTCAGCCTTAATTTTTTGAATAAAAGGATAAAACAAATGAGAGACGCGTTGAATGGAGACAATAAGTTGGAGATCAAGTATCACATCATAACACATTCAACTCGGACAGGTGGTGAGGTTGTCTGAACAAGAATTACTCAAGACCACATGGTAAGACTTCATCTCCATTTGAAATCTAAATAGCATGCAACCATAAAACACTTCACACACAAATCAGGTACAGTAAGAGAATAGATCTTTTAGTTGTTTGATACAGTGTGGGAGAGGCAGTAGTCACCTTTGCTTTTGAGCTTACCGCGGCAGGGCAAAAAAATGAACTCAGACGGGGTCGAACCGCCGATCTCTCGCTTACGGCGAAGGGCACATCATCCTATATCGAAGGCGAGCGCCTTACCACTGGGCCATGAGTCCATTGCATCACATCAAAAACTTTGTTACACAATTTGTTGCGACAGGCCGTCGCAGTTTCTATCGGCTATGAATTCTTTGAGCGACACCTGTGAACTGTCGCAGATGTCATTTGCGACACCAAATTGCGGTCGCAAATAATTCATTCATGACTGTTAAAGTTTGACACATACAGGTCCACAAAGGTCGTCTTTAGGGGTCTCAGAAACTTCTTTGGGCACTTTTGTGGATGCTCCTGGGACACACTTTTTGGGCTCTGGATACCATCATTATGGGAGAGCTCAATTTGAAACCCTATGCAAGTTTTCCATTGGGATCCCCAATTACTGGAATAGATAAACCCTGTTTTTGTTTTATCATTTTGACTATAACCTCACCATCACTCCTCTCATTAATCTTGTCCAAGCAACAAGACTATTTTCATGTATATTCAGAATCTTGTGATTCCACAATTCACTGATATTACTCAAAGCTTCACACAATTAGATGGAATGGTTGAGATTGGTTGAGGATTGAGTAAGGATGTGTGAATGGTTAAGAGCGCTAGCAAAAGTACTAGAAAAGAGCCAAAAATTGATGTCTTGTGAGGTTCAAGTATGAATTGGGAAACAGATACTAAAAAGTAAGAAAAAAAGAAAAAAGATGTGGTTACAGGAAGAAAATTCTTTGAAGTTATATGATAGTATGGGTGGGGTGAGGGCTTTTCTGGTTGATCTCCCATATGAAATGCAGTCTTGGCTACATTTGTTATTCATTAATTGTCAATTCACAAGGCCAGGGAGCTTCAGATCTCCCAACCTATTTGCATATCTCCATCTCTCACTAACATACACTGATAAGAGCTGAATGTTATAGTGAATGAATCCCAGGTGAGTCTCTCTCTCTCCTCATCTTGCTCCGCTCGGGCAGTCCGGTAACCAATGATTTGCACACACAACAACACACAAACACACACATAGAAGAGACAAGACGGAACATGAAGAGAGAGGAATAGGTGAGAAAACAATATGCGAACCTATAGTGAATGAATCCTGGGTGAGTCTCTCTCTCTCCTTGTCTTGCTCCGCTCAGGCAGTCCGGTAACCAATGATGGGGAACTGGTCTGCTGAGTGGAGCATGGACCTTATGAGTCTTCCTGATCTCACTACTTCTACCTAACCCCAACATGCTTTGT